GCCGCACTGTCGGAGGGTCAGTGCTGAGGGAGTGCCGCACTGTTGGAGGGTCAGTACTGAGGGAGCGCCGCACTGTCGGAGGGTCAGTGCTGAGGGAGTGCCGCACTGTTGGAGGGTCAGTACTGAGGGAGTGCCGCACTGTCGGAGGGTCAGTACTAACAGTTCCCTCACCACATGTTGCAGACCCAGTCTAGCCGCTGTGTCCTTTGGACCACCAGCTCAATCTGTAGGACAGCTGCGAAGCCATTCTCAAAAATGGACAATGAAATTATTCATCCAGAGTTCATTTTGTGCCCTTTACCATTTTCAGTGCTTCCACCTAGTGTTGTTCAGTGAGGGAGGATGGTATGTGGTAATCAGCAGGAGGTTTCCTTGCCGATTTTTAATCTGAAGCCATGAGGTTTCGTTGGGTCTGGAGTCAATGTTGAGGACTCCCAGGCATCTTTGTCCTGAATGTATACCACTGTGTCACCAACTCTGCTAGGTCTGACCCTGTCTGTTGTGATGTTTGTTGTGGAATATTCTTCTGAGACAGAGACTGGAGAGTTATTTTGTCCCATTGTGATTTTATCAGTGGACTGTGAGTGAGAAAGTCACAAGTCAGCCAAATGTGTAAAATGCAAAGACAGTTTTATTAAAGAATTGCAAAGATCATCATTGAGTGCCAGCCAAGATAGAGGGTGTGTCATCAGGTCTTGTGACTGTGGGGAGCCAAGAAAACGGATTCACTTCGCACTTTAAGAGAGCTGGGTGGGTCTTGACAAGAAACAACTAATACGAGAAATGACAACATGATTCAGAGCTATAGGTGAATGAGGCGAAACAGAACTTTCAATCATCAAACTTGCTTTTGTCACTTAATCAGTGAAACAATCGGGTTTAAACCTGGATCGATGTCCAGACACTATGACAGTGTAACAGTCCCTCAGCACTGACCCTCCGACAGTGCGGCACTCCCTCAGCACTGACCCTCTGACAGTGTGGCACTCCCGCTGCACTGACCCTCTGACAGTGCGGCACTCCATCAGTACTGACCCTCTGACAGTGCTGCACTCCCTCAGTACTGACACACTGACAGTGCTGCACTCCCTCAGTACTGACCCTCCGACAGTGCGGCACTCCCTCAGCACTGACCCTCCGACAGTGCGGCACTCCCTCAGCGCTGACCCTCTGACAGTGCGGCACTCCCTCAGCGCTGACCCTCCGACAGTGCGGCGCTCCCTCAGCACTGACCCTCCGACAGTGCGACGCTCCCTCAGCACTGACCCTCCGACAGTGCGGCACTCCCTCAGTACTGACCCTCTGACAGCGCGGCACTCCCTCAGCACTGACCCTCTGTCTCCCCATCACTCCCTCATTTTTCCGATTTACCGTTGACAGGGATAAGTGCCTCTGGTCTTAACAAATTTCCTGCATCATGAGTTAATCACTTCACTTGTCATGTTTGAATCTGACATAAACCCAAACAAATTTGGCATCAGGTTTTTTTAAGCATCGGTTTTGTTACAATCAGTGACCTGTAGAAATCGCAAGTTTCCTTCTCGAAGCAGAGGCAGATTGACTGGTAAGACAGGTCAGCTCACTTGTGTTTCATGCCCGTACATGTCGCATGATCAGCCCACAACTTCCTGAAATTTTACTGAATGATCTGTATCGTGCCAAAGTGCATTGTTCTGTTGTTTTACAGGAGGTCAGTTCGTGAAGGAGGGAGTTACGAGGAGTTGCCCTGAGGATCCTGTGTGAGCCCTGACTGCATCATGAAGGACAGTGCAGGTGAGGCTGTTCTGGTTTGTGACCTCGTTATTACTAGACTATTACTAGACCTCGTTATTACTATTACTGTTCCATGCCTTACAATTCCCACTGCCGTCAATGTGGGGTTTACATATTCTCCACTTATCTAAGTGGGTTTTCGCCAGGTGCCCCAGTTTCCTCCCACAGTCTAAATATGTGGAGGTTAGGGTGGATTGGCCATGCTAAATTGCCCCATTATACCCAGGGTTATGCAGGCTGGGTGGTTTAGCCATGGGAAATGCAGGGTTATCTATATAGTGTAGTGGTGAGAGAAGCTCTTTGGCTTCTTGGTGTGGACTCAATGGGCCGAATGGCCTGTCTTGACACAGTAGGGATTGAATGTTGCTAATGTGAGTCTGAAAAAAGGAGCTTGTGGCGATGGTGAGTGGCTGGAGTGAGGAGTTGCTGTTCCCAATGGGAATGACAATGGCCTCTTGGCCTTCAATGCAAGGGAATCGGGAACAGCAAGGAAGAGATTCTGCTAGAACTGTTGAAAGGTTTAGTGGGACCACATCTGGAATATGATGTGCAGTTTTATTCTGCATATTCAAGGAGGGATGCATTTGCATTGGAGATGATCCAGTAAAAGTTCACCAGGTTGATCCCTGTGATAAAGGGGATGTCCTGCGATCTGAGACTGAGGAAATTGGTTCGATTTTCTCTGGAGCTTTGAAGAGTGTCAGGTTACTTTGTTGAAATGTTTATTATTCCAAAGCGGCTCAAAGGATTGATATTTAAAAGTGGGGAAGCTAGTGGAAGCGATTTTGAGAGACAGAATTAATCTGCATTTGGAGAGGCAGCTATTGCCCATGAATAGTCTGTATGGTTTTATTAAGGGGAGGTCATGTCTGACCAACTTGACTGAACTTTTTAAAGTGTTGGCCAGGAATGTAGATGACGACAATGCTTTTCACTGCAAGGCATTTTGATAAGCCCCTGTTCAGATACCGATAACAAAAGGAAGAGTCCATGGGTCCAAGGAAATTTGACAAATTGGATCCAGAATTGGCTGAGTGACAGGTAAATAGAGGCTGATGGTTGAGATGTTTCTGTGACTGGAATCCTGTATTCAGCGGGGTTTCACTGGAGTCAGTGTTGGGGACCTTGCAGTTAGATTTGAATGTAGGAGGGTTGATCAGTAAGTTTGCAGTTGATATGAAAATTGATGGGATAGCCTTAGATTTCAGGAGGATGTAGACAGGCTGGTCAATGGTAAATAGTATTTAATCAGGATAAGTGTGCGGTGATATCCCTGGGCAGGACGAACAAGACAATGGAATACATAATAAATGATAGGACCCTGGGAAGCACCAAGGGTCAGAGGGACCTTGGTGTACATGTCCAACATCCTCCTAAGCTCTCAGGCCAAGTGGGTAAAGTGCCGAAGTCACATGGGATCCTTGCCTTTAATAACTGAGGCACAGGGTATAGGAACAGGGAGCTGCTGCTGGAACTGTATAAAATGCTGGTTCGGTCACAGCGAGAGTATTGTGTGCAGTTCTGGAATCCACATTATAGGGGGGATGTGATAGCACTGGGGAGGGTGCAGAGGGAGATTTACAGGTTGTTTGTCAGGCTGGAGCGTTTCAGTGATGGAGAGAGATTGAACAGACTAGGGTTGTTTTTCTCAGAGCAGAGGAGATTGCGAACGGACATGATTGAGATGTATAAAATGATGAGGGGCATAGACAGGGTAGGCAGTAGGGATTTTTTTTCCCTTGGTGGAGGGATCAATGCCAAGGGGCATAGATATAAGGGATAGGGGCAGGAGGTTTAGATGGGAAGTGAGGAAAATCTTTTCACCCAGCGGGTGGTGGGAACCGCCTGGGAGGGTGGGAGGTATAGAGACTCTCATCACATTGAAGAAGGATTTAGATGTGAACTTGGAATACCCAGGCAGACAAGGCTATGGGCCACATGCTACGAAATGGGATTCAAATAGCAAAGTGGTTGCATTTGACAGGAACAGACACAATTGGCTGAAGGGCCATTTTCTGTGCTGTAGACCTCTAAAGGTCAATGACACTGATCTTGAATACTTGAGGCTAGAATATTATAGATGGGACAGCCTCAGGATAAGGGGCTGATCATTTTGATTTGAGGTAAGAAGTATCTTGAGAAAGGACGTTAGATCTGACAATGTGGAGTCTGTATGGGCAGAGTTGAGAAATATCAAGGGGCAAAAATCATTAGTAGGTGTCATACATAGACCCCCAAATTGCAGTGGTGATGTTGGGAATGGCATTAAACAGGAAATTAGAGATGCATGTGATGACAGAATATCGGTGATCATGGGTGATTTTAATCTGAACATAGATTGGGCAAATCAAATTAGCCACAATGCCGTAGAGGAGGAATTTCTGGAGTGCATATGGGATGGTTTTCTTGACCAATATGTGAAGGAACCAACTAGAGAGGAGGCCATCTTAGACAGGGTGCTGTGTAATGAGAAGGGAATCATTGCCAATCTAGCTGTGTGAGATCCCTTGGGGAAGAGCGACCATAACATGACAGAATTTTTTATCAAGATGGAGAGGGAGGCTGGTGATTCGGAGACGAGGGTGTTGAACCTTAATAAAGGAAACTGAAGATATGAGGCATGAGTTGGCCTTGATAGATTGGGGAGAGATACTTAAAGGGATGACGTGGATAGGCAATGGCAAACATTCAAGGAACACATGGGGGAACTGCAACAATTTCTGTCAGTCACAAAAACAAAATGGGTAAGAAGGCCAATCTATGGCTTACACAGGAAATTAGAGATAGTATCTGATCCAAGGAAGAAGATTGGCCAAGAAAAATAATAATTCTGAGGATTGGGAGCAGTTTAGAATTCGGCAAAGAAGGACCAAGGGATTGATTAAGAAGGGGAATTGTAAGAAGGGAAAGTAAGCTTGCAGGGTACATAAAGACTGAAGCTAAGAGTTTCTATAGGTACGTGAAAAGAAAGAGATTGGTGAAAACAAATGTAGGTCCCTAACAGACAGAAACAGGGGAATGCATAACGGGGGACAAAGATATGTTTGAGGAACTGAATACATACTTTGGTTCTGCCTTCACAAAAGAAGACACACTCAGGTTTTTGAGTAGATTTGTAGCTTGGGTTGTGGACGTTGTGGTTGGCTGGCTCGCCGAGCTGGTTCGTTGTCCCTCAGAACCACAAAAAAAAGGGCAAAAATAAGATACCAGAATTTTTGGAGGATGCAAGATTTAGTGAGAGGGAAGAACAGAGGGAGGTTAATATTAGGAGAGAAATGGTGCTGGGAAAGTTGTTGGGATTGAAGACCAATAAATCCCCGAGGTCTGATAATCTACATCCCAGAGTACGTAAGGAAATAGCTCTAGAAATAGTCGATGGACATTTTCCAGGATTCTATAGGCTCTGGAATAGTCCCTGCAGATTGGAGGGTGGCTAATGACACTCTGATATTCAAAAAAGGAGGTAGAGAGGAAACAGGGCATTATAGACCAGTGAAACTAACATCGGTAGTTGAGAAAACACTTGAATCAGTTGTCAGGGATTTTATAGCAGAGCATTCAGAAAGCAGTGGCAGGAGCATTTGAGTCAGCATGGATTAATGAAGCAGAAATCATGCTTGACAAATCTGTTGGAATTTTATGAAGATGCAACTAGTAGACTTGACAAGGCGAAGCCAGTTGATGTAGTTTATTTGGACCCTCAGAAATAATTTGACAAAGTCCAAAATAAGACACTATATGTGCAAAATTAAAGCTCATGAGATTGGGGGAAGTGTATTGAGATGGTTCAGAAACTGGTTGGCAGAGAGGAAACAAAGAGTAGGAATTAATGGGTCCTTTTCAAATTGGCAGGAGGTAAGTTGTGGGGTGCCACAGGGATCAGTGCTGAGACCCCAGCTATTCACAATATATATTAATGATGTGGATGAGGGAACAAAATGTAACATCTCCAAGTTTGCAGATGATACTGAGTTAGGTGGGAGGGTGAAATGTGACGAAGATGCAGAGATCCTTCGGCATGATCTTGACAGATTGGGTGAGTGGGCAAATAAAAGGGAGATGCAGTATAATTTGGATAAATGTGAGATTATTCACTTTGGAAGCAAAAACAAGAAGGGAGATTACTGCCTGAATGGCTGTAAATTGGGAGAGGGGAGTGTGCAGTGGGACCTGGGTGTCCTTGTGTACCAGTTGCTGAAGGTAAGCATGCAGGAGCAGCAGGTGGTAAAGATGGCAAATGGTATGTTGGCCTTCATTGCGAGCGGTTTCGAGTACAGGAGCAGGGATGTGTTATTGCAGTTATACAGGGCCTTGGTGAGGCCACACCTACAGTATTGTGTGCAGTTTTGGTCTCCTTTTCTGAGGAAGGATGCTGTTGCTCTCGAGGGGGTGCAGCGAAAGTTTACCAGGCTGATTCTGGGGATGGTGGGTCTGACATATGAGGAAAGATTGACTCGGTTGGGATTGTTTTCGCTAGAGTTCAGACAAATGAGGGGGGGATCTCATAGACACTTATAAAATTCTAACAGGTTTGGACAGGGTGGATGCAGGGAGGATGTTCCCGATGGTGGGTGTGTCTAGAACCAGGGGTCACAGTGTGAGGATTTGGGGTAGACCATTTAGGACGGAGATGAGGAGACATTTCTTCACCCAATGAGTGGTGAGCCTGTGGGATTCATTACCACAGGAAGTAGTTGGTGCCAAAACATTGAATGTATTCAAGAGGTGACTAGATATAGCACTTGGGGAGAATGGGGTCAAAGGTTATGGGGAGAAAGCAGGATTAGGATATTGAGTTGGATGATCGACTGTGATCATGAAGAATGGCAGAGCAGGCTCGAAGGGCCGAATGGCCTCCCCCTGCTCCTATCTGCTATGTTTCTATTTTCCATGACTCAGAGAGTTGTGATTTTGAATTATCCCAAAGCACTGAGGAGAAACTGTCATGAAATGCATATATGGCTGAGAGAGACAGACTATTGTTCTCTTCGAGAAATCGAAGGAGACGAAAGGACAAACATCACTCAACAATACAGAAAATGTATTCACACCTCCTTGTGATTTACACCCACATCAGGTAAACAGAATTCCTGATTCATGTTTACCCCATGGAATAAAACGACCAACTTTTTCCACAGGTCCAGTGAGAGAACAGGAAGATAATGTGAGCAACAACAATGATTACCAAAGCTGCACAGACCAAACCTACCTGAATGAGAAGATAGTAATCCCTGAAACAGGAAGGGTAACACTCATTCTCTTATTCCATCGCAAACAGGAACCGCTGGTTATTCGCGTAAAGTCTGAGGGTCAGTACTGAGGGAGTGCCGCACTGTCAGAGGGTCAGTACTGAGGGAGTGCCGCACTGTTGGAGGGTCAGTACTGAGGGAGTGCCAAACTGTTGGAGGGTCAGTGCTGAGGGACTGCCGCACTGTTGGGGGGTCAGTACTGAGGGAGCACCACATTCTCGGAGGATCAGTGCTGAAGGATTGGCGCACTGTGCAAGGGTCAGTGCTGAGGGAGTACCGCACTGTTGGAGGGTCAGTGCTGAGGGAGTGCCGCATTGTCTGAGGGTCAGTACTGAGGGAGTGCCGCACTGTCGGAGGGTCAGTACTGAGGGAGTGCTGCACTGTCGGAGGGTCAGTGCTGAGGGAGTGCCGCATTGTCTGAGGGTCAGTACTGAGGGAGTGCCGCACTGTCGGAGGGTCAGTGCTG